TTGCTGTTTGGATTTTTTTGCAGGTGACACTGAAGGGATTTCACTTGAGGTGTTTGCCTGGCAACATTTGCAGCAAGTATTTCTGTTTTTTTGCTTCTTCTTCTTGTTTTTAATTTCAAGCTGAGGGTTTATTTGCTTGACATTTACAGCAATCCGTCAAGTTATTGTTTGATTTTCTGATCAAGCTAAATTAAACTCTGGTTGGGTATTAAAGCAAGTAAAATTATATAGAAAATTGTTCTATGTCAGTTTGGGTTACGATTTAGAAGGTATTTCAGACTTGATTGGGTATTAAATTAAGTGAAAAATATGTCAGAAGAGCTACGGGTTTTTATTCTAGAAGCTTAAACTTTGAATAGATATGGATTCAAGTTAAATTTGTGTTTTTTTTTTAAATTGTTTTTTTGGTTATCCAAGAAAAGTTTATATTTAATATGTAACTAACAAAGAATTAACTTGTAAAAAACTACAATTTAAGCACTTTAATATTAAGTCCCAGCGACATTTTCCCATTTTCTAGTTTCACTTGCCCACCACCTGTGTTCACATTTTCTCAGGGATTACATTTAATTCCCGTTTGCCTTAATCAGTTTAAATGTGAAGCCATGAATACAGATTTTTACCCACATATGTATATATATATACCGTTATTCATGTAGCCAATAATCGGGTGCAGTGTGACCCACTTTTCCGTAGGTGTTTGTGCTCGGAAATTGGCCAAAAAGTGTTTCTGTGAAATTTTTGCAGATTTTGATTGATTTCTGGCATGCATTTTGCCTAAGTCGCAAGCTTGTTGCTTTTTTCGGGCTTAACTTTTGCTTTGTTTTACATTTTACTGAACCTTTTCACAAAATGATTGATATGCGTGAATTTGGTGGAATTGAGGCTATTTCTGGTATTTATGGTTTATATTAGATTTATTTATAGCTCAGTTTTCGGTGTCACAAACTATTTGGTTATTACACTGTGATTCATTAGTTTGATTAGTTAATTCCCCATAAATTAGTTTTTTCCTATAAACTTTGGCGTTTCTTTCCGCTTCAAAATATGCAATATTTTTCATTGTAAAACACGGAGAACATAACTTTTTAATTGTTGAAGCCTTTTGAAATATATCAAAAAACTGAGCAAACTTTAATTTTGAACAAAAGTTTTTTAAGTCTGATTAAGCCGATTAGCTATGATTCGTTTCTTAAGGAGAGTTAAAAGCTTAATTATTAATTTGGCTGGCTCGGAGGAGAACTTAATGCAGTGTAAAAAAAAAGTTCGGAAAAACACTTAATTACTTTAAAAGTAAGTCTTTCATAATATTTATTTTCTGTGCGTTTTTCGCCGAATTCATTTGTGATGCAACTAATAATTATTTTAGGAACCTTTTTGAAAAGAGGATGAGTTAAAAAAAGTTTAAACGTAACACTTTTATAGTATTTATTTTCTGTGTGGTTTTCGCCGACATCATTTTCGATTCAAATAATAATTACTTTAGGAAAAATTTTTAAACGTGGAAAAGTTAAGGTTTTGTTTTCGGCAAAAGATGAAATATATAAGCCTTTGCTTTATTTTAAAGAATCTTTTGGGAATCACCAAAAAAAAATATAAAATATAGTCTAGAATCAAATTCTAGCTGCTAGCTTTAATAGTTTTTTCATAGTTTTCCAAAATTTTCAAAATTTTCTAAAATTTCAACACAGCTCGAAGTACATAAGCTCTATTAATAGCTGCCTCAAGTCCCGTCGGCACTAACACATACACCCACAAATATATATAGTAATTTATTGTATTTGGTAATTTAAGCACACATTGTCTTTGGCGACGGCACTTCTAAGATTTCGCGACGGTTTCGGTTCGATAAGAAAAAGTCTCTCTCTGGTTCAGTTCACAATGAAAATTTCACATGCGTTTCTCGCTTAATTGTGCTCTTATTTAGTTTTTTTGGTAACTTTAATTCAAACTTTAAATATGAATTGATGGCGCGAGAACTCACTTGGTTAAGTTGCGTGCGTGCGTGCGACTAACTTTCCGGACTGTTGTAACTGTTGTAACTGTTGTAACTGTTGTAACTGTTGCAACTGTTGCTCCTGCTACTTGTTGAACACTGCGTAACCGACTCGCGGCGCCGACTTCTTTTATAAGGAGCGGGCGATGGCCGAATGGCCGCACGAGCGCGCGTTCGGCGCACGCACGCACGCATGCACGCGCGCACGAAGGCGACGCGCCAAAAATTGCGTAAAAGCTTCGCGAAGCTTTTACGATTCCATTTACAGTTAGTCGGCGCGTCACGCGACGACGCGCGTTCATTTTGCTTTTCCTCGTAATTTTCGGCGTCTTTATCAATGAAAAATTTCGTCACATTTGCGCAAAGTTGTTTTTGTTGTTGTTTGTTTTTTTTTGTGTCTGATATTGTTCTATGAAAAATTATAGGGAAATCGGGCAAAGTTGCCCAACGCCTGCGGAATAATAAAAAGTGGCCGCAATTATTTACGCCGCAAGATAGCCGCGCGCCGCTAACTAGGCAACAAGTCAGCACGAAAGGGGGGGCGGTAGGAGCTGGGCGGGGCTGGGAGGCGGTCTGGAAGGGGCTGGGTGGCGGGCTGGACACTTCCTGTAATTGTTGACATGGCGCGTCATTTGGTTCGCGGAACATTTGAGGCGTAGGCGAATGCGTTTTACTGGCGCAGTTTACTCGCAGCTGAAATTACGACGCGTAAATCCCTGCAATGCGGAAGCCGTATTTTAAAGGAGATATCCTCCTGCCTGCTTCCTGCACTTTACTTGGCCCCAGATACGCCTACACCTTATTTACACTTTTTGTTACCGCTTTTTCTCTCTTTTTTTCACAAAAATATCTTCTTCCAATGCATTTTTTTTCATTATTTTCCAGTATTTTTTTTATCACAAAAATATCTTCTAAAGTTTTTCCTACTTCTCATTATTTTCCGGTTTTCTTTTTTTTTTTTTATCGCATTTGTCATTACGCCCATATATTTAGCATTGACAGACATGTTAATCGCAGCAATTAGCTGGTGATTGTATCATATTTCATTTTTATACTCTTCCGTGGGGTATAATGATTTCATCGGTAATTTGATCAAAACTAAACAATTTCTCTTTTATTCCGAATTTATTCTCTATGCAACATTTCAATTTTCTTGAAATTAAAAGTAAAATAATATTTACTGCATTTTTTAAAAAATAAGGAAAATTATTTTGGAATATTGAGAACATATAAATTTCGAAATTTAATTTTAGTTTTGTAAATTAAAAAACTGGCTCCAAAGATGTGAAGAACCAGGTTCACGAACCGAACCTTAAGGCGAGACATTGGTTCGAAACGTGAACTGAACCGAATATTGATTCAAACCAATTTCTCGCCTTAAGGTTTAACAAACAAAGACTTCTTTGTTGCTTTTTAGACTAATAGTTGCATAAATCGGAATTAAAATAAAATAAAACTGAGCTGGTATTCTTAAGCCAGGTGCATACCTTACCCAAGATATATGCTTATTGAAGAGGTTCATTGACACTGTGATAGAATACCGTTAGCACCTCGCGCAGGAGGCGACACCTGCCAGTCACATAAACAACGTTAAGTCGCGCTGTCTAAAGTTTTCTTATTTTTTACCCAAGCACATCTAAGATAGGGAGGGTGTGGGAGGGTTGAGGGTGTTTGACTGGGTCATAATCTGCAGTCAGTTGGCAGGCCCCAGAGACGCCCACAAGCAACACTTTAAAGTCAATAGCTGGAAGGAAGCGAGTAAGTGAGGGGTCACATTTGCATGGGCTACTTTTTGCCAAGAGGAGTGTGGGCGTGGCCGTAGGGGGAGGAATCGGCCACAGCAAATAAGCAAACACATAAGATTGCCGAGTGGCAAGCGGATTGCCTGGGGCAACCAATGCCAAAGTGATATAACAATGCCTCCTTCCCCCTCAAAAGTAAAAACCAATAACAGACGCATTCAAATGTCCATGTTCAAGTCGTGAGCCCTAATGGAGGGAGGTAGGGGTGTGTTAAGTACGTCTTCGGGCTGACGTATATTTTTAGCTCAGAGCGAATACAAAAAAAGAATCTATTTTAAGATCTTTCAATACCAAAAATTGCAGTTTGCATTAATTACAAAATATCATAAAAGGAAGATTTAGTCGAAATCCGGAGTCGCTCATCAATGCCCACGCGCTTTGAATGCGTCACGGCTTTCGAGTGTCATATATTCTATATATCTATATATACATCTATATCTATAACTTTCTGTATAAATAAATAGATGTATTCATATGTAGATTACAGTGCGGGCGCCAACATTTCCGGCGTGCACTAGATAAACAAATTACCTCAGCTAATTGCGCTGAGATTTGTTACGGTCGCAATTCCAGTAAACTAAATCGCCACAATTTCGCCTCGATTTCGCCAAAAGAAAAATATTCCCGCACTACCTATATTTTAATTTGCATAAAAAAGTTTGCACCAACAAAAGTTAAAAAAAAAAATTCAATACAATTTTGTATTTTTAAAAATGTTTATTAACAATATTGATTTTTATAGATATTTGTTACGATAAATTAATGAAGAATTAAGTTTATAATTCTGTAAGCAATAATTTTTTTTTGTGAAACTAAAATCAATATTTTAAAAGTAAATCAAAACATGAAATCGTGTTTAAATTCAAAACCTAAAACTTATATGCAACTTTTCAAAGCTTTCCTAATTAATTCTATTTTTTTAAAAATAAATTGATTGGCGAAATGAAAGCGAATTCGGTTTTAAGAACGTTCATCTAATATATGTTATTTATATACATCCGGATTCATAGCTCAACACAGACAAAAATTGCCATAGCTTTGACTTTAAGGCAATTCATAAAAAAGTAAAGAGGCGAAATGGGAGAGATTTCAATTTCCGGAACACAGTTTTCCCGCTCGCCTTATCGCAGCTGGCGCATGCAAATGCAAATATTTGTAGCCTATTTAGCGGCTGGCCTCAGTAAAAACTCCTACGCATCGCATGGGATTAGAATTGGATTTTTATTTGTATATGGGTTTTATTATATTGAACTTGTTACAGGTTTAATTAAACTTGATGCATTGACACTTATTGACAGGTAAATATATTTCGCTGTGACTCTGACTGAGATTTCGTATTGGATGACAGCCAATTCCCTGTATTCTTTTTGATTAACTATAATTTCAATCTTTCACCCGCGCCTTCAACGGACATTTTGAAAATTTTTCACGTAATTTGTTTCAAATGTAATTTGGAAATTTTGGTCTAGAATTGGAGTAAAACCCATTTATGGGAAATAATTTGTCCCGTTGAAAGAGTTGACGGGAATGGATCGAAAGAAAATGTTATTCAACGATTATTAAAAACAGCATCTTTTATGCCTCCTCCGTGGCGTCAAAAATATCGTCGAAGCGGCCTTCCTCCTCGGCTGGCTCCTCCGGCTCATCCACAATCGAATCACCCATGATTATCTGCTCGGCCAACTGATACAGCTCGAGTATGTTCTGATCAAGAGGAAAAACATGGATGGATTTATAGGAAAACTTTTGGATGGGGGGCCGAAACTCACCTTGGCGTTGCGCAGAGCGACAATTTTCTCGTCCTCGAAGCGTAGTTGATCGTATTGCTGCTTGGATATGAGCAGGCCGCGATTGAACTCATCCTCCATCTCCTCCTGGAGCACCTCGGCGTATTGCTGCTTGGCCACCGTCAAGCTGATGAGGCTCTCGCTCTTTATCGACTCCTCAGAAACGTCGGAGGCATCGTCCATGTATTTGCTTTGTATGGCGCCCGGATAGTCACCAAAATCTTGGGATGTCTCACGCTGCATTTCAATGCTGCCGCCGGCAATGTCCTCCATGATGAAGGCCTCCAATTCGCTGGTCGGCGCCACCATGGCCACCTCCTTCTTCTCGTCCTCCAGCTGGTGCCGGATGCGCAGCTCCGTCTCCCTGAACTTTTGCCTGCAAGGAATACCCTCAGTCTCTCTCTCTCTCTTTCTGTCTCTCTCTCTCTCTCTCTTGCACTTACCGAGCGCGCACTATGTTCTGTATGTCCTGCGGATCGGAGGAGAAGGGCATGGGCACGCGGAGCGAACGCTCCTTCATCTTGGCCCGCTCGTTCTCGAGGAACTCCTTCAGATTCTGCTCACATTCGCGCCAGTCCTCGTTGTCGATGCTGAAAATGGAAGCAGCAGTCACATTTTCATATTTGATTAGCAAACAAATTTCTCAGGCATTTATTAATTACTTTCTACCCCTCACAATTTAAATAAGCCGCAACACGTTGCTGCTTACAAAAATTTCTATACCCTAACCAAGCAGCTTGGCTAAATGGGTCAATTGGTTGGAGGAGTCAATTGGCATCGATAATCTGAAGAACCCCTAGGAATATTCTATCCATATTGAGAATATAAGAATGCTACAGACAGACAATTATTTAAAATAGGTTAAAGTAGAAGAGTCTTATGTAAATATATAAAGATATACTCCATATATATATATATCATTTTTGTGTCATAGCCTTCAACCTTGGATTATAGTATAATCATTATAATATCATCATATGTAATACAATCATTATACACATATTTCTGCTCCATGTACAACTTCTTAAAATTTCATTTAGATCGGACAATAGACACCGAAGTTAATCAAGAATGCATATTTTTTATACATGGTGGAAGAAGAAGCACAGACTTGGTATGTAGATTTTCGTATAGTATAACCAGAATATGAATATATAGTTTTTTACATGCCTCCATTTCTAACAAAATTGTTAAGAAAATCATTTATAGAGCCCTATTCTTTAATGCCCTAAGAATTTCATAAAGATCGGACTTTAAGGACCGAAGTTAATCGAGGAAGTATTTTCCATTGATTAGGATTTAGGAAAGAAGCACTCCTGCTGCTTAATCAGATTATATGGTAACTATAGTCAAGTAAAATTAAACCAATAAAAAATAATTTCCATTTTTTTTAGCTTTTCTTTAAATGGAAAACGGAAGAACTTGGAACCTGAAAAGGAGACCTCCTACCTACTCCTCGTCCATCTCCAAAATGGCAACTTAGTAATACCCAGTTCTGGAAATTAATTCCGGATTCAAGGTAAGTTTGCAGATATTGGTAAATTTCGGGAAGGTATCTAAAATCAGAAGATACTCCTTTGTAAATATTTAGACTAGGGTATTTAAATGTACGCATATAAAACTCAATTTTCTCGACTTTATCTTTGGCTTAAGTAGTTGCATTTTTTCTTCGACCCAAGCCGTTGGCTTAAATGCCCAAAGGGGCGTGGCAATACGCCCCAAACTGGCCATAAAATGTGTTTTTAATGCGGTTGCATTATTATTTTTCTTGCTATCAGTTTGTTGTTTAAATAACTTTCAATTAGCCGCTGGCTTGCCTTGGCTCGTGGCTCGTGGAGTATTCCCGGTCTTACTTACCGTAATAGGTCCATGCCCCGCTCGGCATCCTCGAGGCGGTACTGCTCGACTAGGAGCTTCTGTTGGCGCTGGCGCTCGTGCTTCTTGGCCAGCATCTCGGCCTCCTTGGCCGCATGCTGCAGTCTCTCCCGCTCCCATTTGACGCCCTGCACCTTCAGACGTTCCGCGTTCTTTTCCCGGCTTGTTTTCAGCTGCAGTCAAATTTTTGGCAGAGATTTAATTTGATTTGCTTTATTGCCGTGGGCATAGGTTCAGGTTACCTTGGAGCGCTCCTTGAGTATCTCTGCATTGGCATCTTTGTTGACCATGAAGATGGGATCGTCGGCCAGCTCCTCGGGTATTATATCAGATTTTCCCTCGATAATCAGCATGCGCTCACGCTCCACCTCTTTTAACTGGAGAAGAGAGCTTTTCAATATATGTATAATATAAAGCAAAAAAAACTACAAAAACATATACAAATGTTGGGCTACTTCGTTCCTTTAAAGACCTTTTAGGCATAGCAAAGCAAGTTTTCTAATTTATTGCATTTAAATTGGGATAAACTTATTGAAGATAGTTCTATAAAGTTTTAAGTGTAAGCACTTCGATATTTGCTGGACTTTCCCTCAGCCTAATTACATAGGTTTGTATCTAAATAAAATCTTCAGAGACTAAAGAAAAGACACTTTGTATGGGAAATGCATTCTTAATTAACTTCGGTGCTTATAGTCCGATCTTAATAAAATTTGCAGAAGCTGAATATAGTATGTAAAAGTGTACATACCAAAGCGTAAGGCTCTACATCTTAAAAATAAGTTTCTTTTGCGATTCGAAGGGACTGGGACTACAAAAAGTGAGTTATTTCTAATTTTTGCATATCATACGAGAGCCTACATACTAAGTTTTCATTAACTAGCTCTTAAAATTATCGAGTTATTCTTAAAGAACAAAGGCTTTAAATAGATATAATGAAAATGAAATATTTAAAAATTTCATGTCTCTAGCCTTATTAGTTTCTGAAATCAACTCCTTCAATCAGGCCTAGTCAGCCCAGGATATTTAAAGGTAGCTCAGGCTCAGGTAGCTTCTAACTTCCTTGTAACTTTTTCAGTGTGACCAGGCTTATGAATCAGCTAAAAGAAATATCTTTGATTTAAAACAAAAGTCTGGCAACATCATAAGCCTCTCTTTTAAGTATCTAGCTCTTAAAATAGGTGATTTATCTATGAATAGACAAATTCGCTAAATAGATAAGTGAAATGAAGACATAATATCTTTCTGCGTATTATATTTAAGAGCTGAAGACCTGTACGCTAGTGCTCTTCTTTTTTATAAGTAACTATATTACTATTTATAATATAATATGAATATATTATAGTTAATCTTAATAATAATAATTCTATTCAAACTGTCAACTGTCTCTAGCTTTACTAGTCTACGAAATCAAGCCCTTAACAAAAACCCTAAAGGTAGCTCAGGGTATTTTATAGTTTTCTTAGAGTGACCAGGCTAATAAATCTGCTTAGATATGTCTTTTATTAATTAAACTTGAATCTGGCAACGTTATAAGCCTCTCTTATAAGCCTAAATGTCAAATCTGGCAACATTGAATAATCAAACTTGAATCTGGCAACGTTATAAGCCTCTCTTATAAGCTTATATGTCAAATCTGGCAACCTTTGACTCATGAAACTTCAATCTGGCAACGTCAAAAGCCTGTTAAATAAGTTCTTATCTCAAATCTAGCAGCCTTGAATAATTAAACGTCAATCTGGCCACGTCATAAGCCCGTTTTATAAGTTCATATCTCAAATCTGGCAACCTTTGACTCATGAAACTTCAATCTGGCAACTTCATAAGCCCGTTTTATAAGTTCATATCTCAAATCTGGCAACCTTTGACTCATGAAACTTCAATCTGGCAACTTCATAAGCCCGTTTTATAAGTTCATATCTCAAATCTGGCAACCTTGGATGCCCAAACGCCCCCGAATTGACACCTGAAAACTTCGCAGTGCGGCAAAGTAAAAATAATTCTTCTATAGCCGCGCCTCGTGCTCCGCAAATATCTGCAGCTCTCCGCGTAAATCAAAGACAAACAAATTTAAGTGGCCATATCCGGGCCTCTTGGAGCACTTTTCAGCTGTAGTTGGAATTGTTGCTGCCGCTGCTCGCATGTCTCGCATGTCTCGCAGGCATAAAGCCAAGTTGCGCGTTGGTCTAATTCTTTATGATTTTGACGGCTTGGATTTGCCAATTTCATGTCGAGGGCTCATTGAATTCAATTGTTCGCCGGCGCGACGTTTCTCATTGAAAACTTTTCGCTAACAATTTGTTGTATCTATCTTTCTTTCGTTTTTTTTTTGTCTCATTTGCCACGCCCACTCCAAGGGCAGGCCATGAAAATCCCTTTTTTTTTTTTTGAAAAGTTATCGCAGTCCATAAAGCTGACTACGTGACAAATTTTCGTGGGACGCCATTTTCATTTATTTTTTTGTGGTAACCCCTGAAAATTTAATTAGACGTCTTGCAAATTGGACACATTTGTGCGGTCGGCTTTTCGTATACCCTGTAATTTTGGGAAATGGGGTATAATTGTTTTGATATAATTGTTTTCCACATGATATGTGAAAGTGGAAGAACTTGTGGCGCTTTTTTTTCGTTTTTTTCCTACGTTTCCGCTGTATCGATAAATATCGATTTGAAGCCAAGGTTTTCACAGCATAACTCGAGGATAATAAAAGCTAGAGACATCAAATTTTGAGTGTGGCTTCTATTAGAGTGTATTCAGATACGGAATATTTCATATATTGACTACCCCTATCCATTCCACTTAAAATCGAAAAACAACGAGGTATATCCCTAATGTTTAAAATATGTACTACCATCTTGAAGTGCTCAAAACTGCGTAACAATCGGACTTAACAAACAAAAGTTAATCAGGAGAACTTAGACTGAAAGACCTGACTGCCCGGACTGAGGAAAAAAGAAGCAGCTTTGTAGGATATCTGCCAGTCGAACATGGACAATTATTCGCTTGGCATTCTCTTTTTTTTTGGGCTTACCTCACGCGCTCGAATCCTGGCCAGCAGCTGCTTGCGGTAATCCTCGTCGATCCGTTCGCGCAGCTCCTTCATGTAGGCGCGGTCGGTCAGCTTGACCACATTGGTGCCCATGAGCCGGTCCAGCCGGGCGCTGATGCGCGGCAAATTGAAACTGTGGGCCAGTTAAAAAGGCGCTCGGTTAATCAGCGTGTCAAATGTGACTCAGTTAATCGGTTAATTCCTCTGCAAAAAGCTGCACAGTTAATGCTCATAAAATATTTACAGCTTTCCTTTTTTTATTGTTGGGACTCTTTTTTAAAACGTGGGTCGCACGAATGCGCCGCGTTTTCGCGCTTGTAACTCTTGGTAACGAATGAGCTCGGCCACATATTTGGTTTCTATAGAGCTTCTAGTTCCTTGCCTTTTCTGGCCCTTGGCTTTGCTATTGCTTTATTTTGATTTCCAAACACCAAAAAAGAAAAAGCAGAAAAACCGGCAACACACAAGGACAGGAAGTCGCCCGCCGACCCGCTGCCTGTCACACTCGAGCCCAAGCTCATAAATGTGAAAATTTCTCGAAGCTAAAGTTGTTATTGGCAACTTTTTAATGCTCTAACTATGGCCAGAGATTGAGCAAATTGTTGGTGTAAATAGAAAACTCTATGCCTGCGTCTGATTCGTTGCGAAGTTAAAACTGAATTCGAAAGATTCCTTTAGAAATGAAGCAACGATTTTGGAAGTTTCGAGTGTGGATCATTTATCAAAGAATTATTGTCATATTTCTATTTTTCATCAAACTTCAAATTGAATATGTGAAAAATCCTTTTAAGCTATATCAGCAAGTAATTTACACTCGATGAAGTGCTATTAATTTTTTTTTCAGTTTATCCAAAGTTAAAAAAATCCAATATATTTTTTTTCAATTTTCATATAATCGCTACTCTATAAAGTGTAAGGACTTATTTTAATATTCTAAATTTTCATATCATAAAAATAGTGAAAAATGTAAAAGCACAATCAAACAGAGATATAATTGTATTGTCTTTTCAATATATTATACGAACTTTTGGGGAGTCCGATGTAAATTGTACGAAATCAGAACACGGAATACTCTAAAAGCGCAAGTTGTCAATTTCTCTGAATACAAACTAGTTTAATCCTTATGTCATATTCTAACCATCAAGATTAATTGTGCACTAATTTTCTTTAAAGATTCATAGCGTTCTGTTCTATTTTCAATCAAGCAATATTTTAAAAAAGTTATGAGGAAAGTCCTTAGCGGTATCTCCAAAAATATATGTGAATATTAAATCTCAAATAATTTCGATAGTTAGAAAAAAATATTTAAAAATTCGAACCGAGAGTTGAAATTCGAACCTCCAACTGGTTCCATAGATGTGGTTGCAGGCTCACGAACCGAACCACAGGCTGAGTCACTGGTTCAAACCATGAACATTTAAGTTTAGTTGGAATTTTTCTTGATATAATATATTATGATAAACTGAACATAAAACATAAAAACATGACTCGAGTTCCTTCTCGAGTGTATTAAGAATTCGACTTGAACTTAAGCCCTCATTCTAATACTCTCATATTACTTTTTTTTAACTTTGAACAATAGAAATCCCCCCTGCAATTGAGGCAAAGAGGGGGGGGGGCAGGTGTATATTTATGGGTGTATATAGTATGGATAGTTTTTTATGTGATTTATTCAGTAGACTTTTTAGCAGACAGCAGACATACATGTTATACGATTTTGACAGAGCTCCATTTGATATGTGCTCCACATTCCCATATGGCAATACATATTGGGCCCATACATGCGATATATATATCTGTATATATATCTAGCATTAAATGGAGCTAGTCATGATATGCATTGTCTGAGCTAGTTATTATTTTTGAAGGGTTTGAGTTCTCTATGCTTACAGCAACTGCAATTAGTCTGGCTTTTTTATGGGCTTATCCGCCATTTCGCCATGTTTATCATAGACATATATTCTATATGCCACATGAGGCACATAAATACATGTATGTATTTACCACGCCGCCAACTTTGTCTCATTTGCGGCACGAAACAAATTTGACAGCAGTATGAATATGCGGGGGGCGGTAGGGGGGCGGGGCAGAAGAGAAATCGGACCAACTTTGTGGCGAAATAATGTTAAATTACCTGAATGATATGGCCTGACTGAATGACTGACAATAATCAGAGGCCACACAAAATGCCAGACTCGGGGTTAAGTCTCCGATTTCGACTTTGGTTTCACGTTTCGGTTTGGGACGGAGCCAAGAAACAAACAAAAAATTGGCTGTTAAACGGTTTTTTTGGCCTGCTATTAAGTTAAATGTGGCTTGGGCCAAAGTTAAATGAACTTTTAATAGTTGTACTTACAAAAGGAAGAAGAAGAGACAGGTGCACATTTGAAGGTTATGTTTGACATATATGGGAAATTATATGACTAACTATAATATTTAATTTGATTTGCATATAATCTTGGAGAATTTGTCATATTTGGGAAAATTAATGGCTAATGCACATTTTGAGGTTATGTTTGATTAAAAAACAAATTAATTTGGTACACAATATTTTAAGGTTATGTATGATTAAAAAAAAAATTAAATTTGATAGATATACTATCTATATATATATTAATTTATTCGATATAGGATTTATCAATTTTAGGCAATTCAATAACTAATAAATATTAGCTGGACATTTTGAGGTTATGTTAACCTTTTAAGGTTATGTTTTGTTTAACAAACATTTATATGAGAATTTAAATGACTCAAATATAATATTCAATTTGATTTGAGGATTTGAGGATATGTCATATGTATAGCTAATAAACACATTTCTTAGCTGCACATTGAGGTTATGTTAACATTTTAAGGTTATGTATGATTAAAAAACAAAATTAAATTTGATAAAAAATAAAACTATAATATATTTATATTAATTGGCTTGATTTGAATATAATCGTATATCGGATTTGTCAAATTTAAAAGATCTAATAACTAATACATACATTATTAGCTGCACATTTTAAGGTTATGTTAACATTTTAAGGTTATGTTATATTTAATCCCCAATTCAGTAAATAATTTTGATTACTAAATTATATTATTTTAATAATTATACAGTAATTCTAGACTAGTTCCCATTGAATCTGAACTGCAACATACTTTACATTCTTCATCGCCCGCTTTATCTGTTCCTCCATAATTAACATTTTATAGACATAGACCCAGTTTTTTTTTATGAACAGTTCGCGGAGTTATGGCTTACATGTGCGTGGGCATTTATCGCGCGATGCTCTCAGCCCGTTCCCAGCTCCAAACACATCCCCATTCCGATTCCCACACACGCCCACAGACAATGCCTTGCCACAATCATGTCTGACCTCCATCCTCTGCACATGGCATTAAAGTCGCCGTTACGTACGGCTATACAAGGTAATTACCGGTACCGAAGCATTTATAAATCACGGCCCACCTGTACATGCGTGACAGAAACGGATGCAGCCAATGCCTGAAATGTCATAGACAGGGGGGGGACAGGGGGGGAGGGGGGAGGGGGTGGCGATAATAAAAAAAAGTTGTCGACATCCGAAACTCATTCCAGCCAGGAAATTCGACTAACATAGAAGTAATTCCCTTTTCCTTTCCGTACAATTCTTTGTCTTAGTTTCTATACCCTGGGACTATGTGAAAATGGGCTATAAGAGGGTATAATACTTTGTTTTGGCAAATTTGCAAATAGAAGGCAGAAGCAGGCCCTTACGATATCATCAAGAATATGTATATATATATGTACATATATCTGTGTGAACGATTTTAAATTTGGAATTTAGCTAACTCATATAACATATTTATTATACGTTCTTTTTATGACTTCGACCCCTATTTTCCAACATCGATTAATATCGATTCAGCTCAAATTATTTTGGGCATATCTTAAGAGAGTATAAAAACAGGCTTTAGGGACACAAAAGCTGACAGATAGTTGCTCATATATCATACACAAATCAATTTTATTTTATAGCATTGTTCTCTCAAGATCGATAAATATCGATTTTCGTCTGTTCGTCTCAAATCTCAACGATTATTTAAGCTAGAGCTATCTAATTTGACGTGCTGCTTGACTTTTTTAGAGCATGCAGTTGATAAATATTTCATTTTGGTGATAACTTTCTCCAGGATAAACAAAATTCGAACATTTCGAGGAATATCCCTAATTTTTTGCATATGCACGAAAGAAAAATAATCGAAAAATATAAAAATCCAAAAAAAAAAATTGAAAAAAATCAAAAAAATCGAAAAAAATCAAAATCCAAAAAAAAGAAAAATAAATAAAAATCGAAAAAAAAAATAAAAAGCTGGGCGCATTGTAATAATGTATTTAGATCTATGTACAGGGTATATGCCAGCTGGAGCGCTCGTAACATGCTTTCTTATTGCAATTATTTAGTACACATATCGCAATTGCAGCACATGACATGACAGATTGCCATAGATAGGTTGGAGGTTGTCGGTTCCACAGGGTCTCTGGCACAATTTATGCACGTTGGGGTTGACTTATTGATACCCAAAACAACAACAACAACGGCAAGTTTCGATTGGAATTTCATTATCAATGTCAATGCTGATGTAACACGTCGAAGGCAGGCGACGAACGTCAATCGACAGGTGAAAAACTAGGTGCAGAGAGCACGCAGCTAACACTTAACCCTGGCTGAGAGCTTTCTTTGGATATATTGAAAATTGATTGAATTGAACTTTGATAGACTTTGAACTACGTGCGTTGAGGAGCGCGAAAGTGGGCGGAGGGGCGGACATCAAAGCCAGGACACATTGTTGTTGCCACAAATATACGAGACAATGTTGTATCTATTTCGATTCCGCGTAGCTTGTCCCAGTCTCCCACACACACAGAGTCCACAACCCACACACACACGGATAACCACAAGGCCACAGAAGATGAAATTTCCAGATCTAATTCAATAATTCTAACTAAATTTCGGAATAGCAATAAAATAGTTGACATCTGATTGTGAGTTGATGTGAACTTTATCAGCTTTCATAATTGATAAAAACTCTAGAATGTTCTAGTTGTTAGCAAAAAGTAAGGGTCTAGTCGGGAGTGCTCGCTTTGGAGATACCCTATAGAATT